TGCTGAGGATTGTTCTGGCTATTCTTGGTCATTTGTGTTTCCATATGAATTCCTGTTTTGGGTTTTCTAGGTCTGAGAAGAATGTTGCTGGTAATTTGATAGGTATTGCATTGAATCTGTAGATTTCCTTAGGTAAGATGGACATCTTCACAATGGTGATTCTTCCAATCCATGAGCATGGGATATTTTTCCACTTGTTTGTGTCATCTTTGATTTCTTTGAGCAGAGTTTTGTAGTTTTCATTGTAAAGATCTTTCACGTCTCTGGTTAGGAAGATGCCAAGGTATTTCATTTTTTTTGTGACTATTGTGAATGGAATTATGCTTCTTATTTGGGTTTCTGCTTATTATTAGTGTAAAGAAATGCGATTGTCTTTTGCACATTTATTTTAAATCCTGAGATTTTGCCGAAGGCCTTTATCAGTGTAAGGTTTTTGAAAGATTCTCTTGGGTTTTCAAGGTATACGATCATGTCATCTGCAAAGAGAGATAATTTGACTTCCTCTTTTCCTATTTGGATACCCCTGATTGCCTTCTCTTCTCTGATTGCTCTAGCCAGGACTTCCAATACTATATTGAACAGGAGGGGTGAGAGTCAGCATCCTCATCTTGTTCCAGTTTTCAGGGGAAATGGTTCCAATTTTGTCCATTTAGGAGTATGTTGGCTGTGGGTTTCTCATAGATGACTTTTACTACTTTGAGGTATGTTCCCTGTATGCCTAGATGTTCGAGGGTTTTTATCTAGAAGCAGTGCTGGATTTTATCAAAAGCTTTTTCTGCATTTAATGATAAAATCATGTGGTTTTTCTTTTGACATCTGTTTATGTGTTTAATTACATTTATTATTTTATGAATGATGAACCAGCCTTGCGTCCCAGGGATGAAGACTACTAGGTCATAATGGATGATTTTTGAGATGTGTTGTTGAATCCAGTTTGCTAGGAACTTGTTGAGAATTTTAGCGTCTATGTTCATCAAAGATATTGGCCTGTAGTTCTCTTTTTTTGTTGGATCTTTTTTTTTTTAAACTAGTTTTTATTTCCAAATGTCTTACCCAAATTGTCATTTTTTTTTTTTTTGAGTGGAGTCTCACTCTGTCGCCCAGACTGGAGTGCACTGGCCACTCCTGGCCACCGCAGCCTTGACCTGCTGGGCTCCGGCGATCCTTCCACCTCAGCCTTCCCAGTAGCTGGAATTACAGGTATGCACTACCATGCCCGGCTGATTTTTTGATTTATTGTAGAGATGAGGTCTTGCTTCCCAGGCGGGTCTCAAACCCGCGGGCTCAGACAATCCACTCACCTCAGCCTCCCAAAGGCTTGGGATTATAGGCTGAGCCACCGAGCCCGGCTTTTGTTGGACCTTTACCTGGCTTGGGTATCAATGTGATGTTAGCTTCATAAAATGATTTGGGAAGGGTTCCGTCTTTCTCAATCACCTTAAATAGCTTCAGTAGGATTGGAATCAGCTCCTCCTTAAATGTCTTGTGTAATTCTGCTGGAAAGCCATCTGGTCTGGGGCTTTTTTTTTGTAGGTAGTTTTCTTATTACATAGTCAATTTCCTTGATTGTTATTGATCTATTTAGGGTCTCAATTTCTTCTTGTTTCAACCTAGGCAGGTTGTGTGATGACAGAAAGTCCTCCATTTCCTTGAAGTTTTCAAGTTTTTTTCCGTACAAGTGTACATAGTAGTCTTTGATGATCTTTTGTATTTCTTCAGGGTCAGATGTGACTTCAGCTTTTGTGTTTCTGATTGTGCTTATTTGGGTGTTTTCTTTCTTTTTCTTGGTCAGTCTAGCTAGGGGACCATTGATCTTGTTTATCCTTTCGAAGAACCAGCTTTTTGTTTCATTTATTTTTTTGTATTGTCTTTTTGTCTTCTATGTCCTGGATTTGGGCCTTTATTTTGGTAATCTGAATTCTTCTGCTGAAATTTGGGTTTTTGTGATCTTGCTTTTCTAACTTCTTTAGGTGGCTTGTTAGGTTATTAATTTGTGCTCCTTCCATTTTCTTCATGTGTGTTTGTAGGGATATAAATTACCCTCTTACTACAGCTTTTAAGCATCCCAGAGATTTTGATAAGATGTTTCTTCATTTTCATTTGTTTCCAGGTATCTTTTTTTTTTTTTTATAGAGAAAACATTATATTATGACATGCTTTTCCAAACAAAATATTAAAATTAATAATTAATTTTTAACAGTCTTTAAATTCTACACGCATACTTTTGAATACCTAAACTACATGTTAAACAGCTGAATATTTTCTACTCACACTTCAGATCTTTAAACATCAACAATCTATTAATATAACTATTACTGCAGGACAAATTTAGATAGAGGTCTCAAATAATTTTTAAGCTCACTTTAAGAGCACCAATCATTAACAATTATTTTTGCATTTTATTCACAAACACTGATACCATTTGTTTATTTATGTTAAAACAAATATTTTCTTTAAAAATGAATGTGTAGTTTAACTCATAGAGTAGGCTTTTTTTGATGTGTTGTCAAACAGTCTATTTTCACAATGTCTAAATCTACTTTTCAGTGATCTGTTTCATCAGTACTATCAGATACTTTTTCAAATTATTAGCATTATTTTTTCAAAGAGAGGAATAATCAAATTCCAACCCATACATCATATAAATACTTTATATCTAACACACACAGATTCACAGTTCATGCGATAGGCAGTGTCTAAAAAACCAGTTACTAAATCTCAAAAACATTTAAATATTTATTTAAACACAGTGTCTTCTAGATTTTTTTTGTAAGAAAAGTAATCTGTAAATGTCTTTACCTTTAGTTCATGCTTGGTCATTTGCTATGGTCATTGTGGAAGAAGTGGGTATGACTTTGTAACCATTTGTAAAGTGGTTCATCTTTGTAAAAATATTACATTCCATGGGTAAAGAACAAGTCTTAGAATTACAATGTGGTACAAATTTGTGAAATCAATTTCTGTATTTAAAAACATAAAAGAAAGACTACTAAACAGTCCAAAACTGTTGTAGCTGAATATTCTAAATACAAGCTAACAGTACTACACTAAAAATGTCCAAAAATAAGGCCTCTGAAATAAATATTTCCATTCTTTAAAAAAGACATAACAAATGTATATCACATGATCAGTGTACATATAAAAGTCATCAGTTTAAACCATGCTGGATGACGTATCTGAAGTAAAATGACCTAGGTTTTGCTTCTGTCGACGTCCTCTATTGTTTTTGGGGCATTTTCTTGTTATGCACATGACAATTGCTACTATAATGGCAATCTGTACAGCTCCAATAATTGCTGCAATAAGAACATGGGTGAGCTTTTGCCTACTTGGCACTACATAGAGAATACTACAGTCTGTCTTTTCACAGTGCTGGCCAGTGTAACCAGATTCACATCTACAAGAAGCCTTCTGAGTAGAATAGATGAATTCACATTTTCCATGGATGCAGTAACCATTGAGGTTTTCAGGGCAAGGCATGTGGTTTCCAATATAAACATCTTCTCTTTGATCACTAGCATCTTTCACGTCTGGTCGATATTGTAGTCCATCATCTTCTTTCCCAACAAACTAGTGTCATCTGTATCTGTGCAGTGACCAAGATGTCTTATATCAATTTGTTCTTGCTTTATACAAGATGCTTCTCGAACAAAACAGGGATTGTTATACGAACTCCCATCAGAAGCACACATGGGATTAAAACTGTATCCACTGCAATCTATATTACATACACACCCAACGTTTTCTGCATCTTCATCACATTCAGTTTTATATTTGCAAGGTCCACACTTGGAGTGTTTTCTGTGAACTTCTGCTCCTGACCCTTCCTCTTCTCCTTCTCCAGATCGAGATCCATTATCAAAGTAGCATGGTCCTCTTGCTACTACTGTTATCTCTTTCTGATGCTTACAAGCAGCCCTTCTGAGAAAGTATTCATTTTGATATGTGTCCCCATTTGATCCACAGACAGGAATGTAATTTGTATGGCACTGAAATTGGCATGCACATTTCAAAACATCTCCATCTTCTTTACAGACTCCTCCATATTTACATGATGTCTAATCACAAACTCTTATGTCAGACTCCCTCACATTTAATTCTGAGCAGTTGATGCTCTTGCTTTTGCTGCTGGGACAGTCCCCGCTGCCACTGCCGCCACCCGGGGGCTGATTGGATGCATGGCTCCCAGGTAGAGAGAAGGTGAAGAGCAGAAGCACCAACGTGTAGCAGCAGATGGCTGGCGGGGGCATGGCTGGCAGCCAGAGCGGCGCCTCAGCGGCCACGCCACCCATGGCTGGCCCCCCTGGACGGCGGGAAGCTCAGGGAGCCGCAGGCCAGGGGCATCCAGCCACGCACCCAGAGCCCCGCTGCTGCCTCGGCACCTCCTAGCAGCTGCGCCGCTGAGCCCGGGAGGAGCCCCTCAGCATCCCCGTCCCACCCGCAGTGCCCACCAGGCCCCGGCCAGCCGCGCTTGGGACGGACTTGGTGGGTCTGGGCGCGTGCGAGGGTTGTGGGTGTGTGAGGGTGCGTGCAAGGGTGTGAGCTGGCATGGGGGAGCCAGCAGCTGGGGGAGCGAGCGGGCATGCACACGGTGGGCGGGGGTCACGGGGCAGGTGTGGGCCCAGCCCCTTGCTCGCTGCCTTGCTCGCTTCCTCGCCTTCCCTTTGTGTCTGCGGTCGTTGCCACCACGTCACAAAGCTCCAGGTATCTTTTGATCTCTGTTTTGATTTCATCATTGATCCAGGAGTTGTTTAGCATCATACTGTTTAGTGACCATGTCTTTGTGGGTTTTGGGGGCTTTGTGGGTTTTGTTGGTGTTAATGTTTATTTTTATTCCACTGTGGTCTGAGAAGGTGCATGGTAGAATTTCAGTCCTTTTAAATTTGCTTATGCTTGATTTATGGGCGATAATGTGGTCAATCTTGGAATACGTCCCATGTGGTGATGAGTAGAATGTGTATTCTCTGGTCTTTGGATGGAGTGTTCTGTAGGTATCAATTAAGTCCATTTGGTCCAGAGTCACATTGAGGTTCCGGATCTTGTTGCTGATTTTTAGTCCCGATGATCTGTCAAGGGTTGTGAGTGGGGTATTGAAGTCCCCAGTTATGATGGTGTTAGAGTCAATATCTTTCTTTAGTTTTCCTAGGAGTTGCTTTATAAAGCTTGGTGCACCTATGTTAGGTGCATATATGTTTAGGATAGATATTTCTTGTTGATGGAGTGAACCTTTTATCATTATGTAGTGGCCCTCTGTGTCTTTTTAAATTTTTGATAGCTTAAATGGTATTTTGTCTGAAATTAGGATCGTGACTCCTCCTTTCTTTTGTGTTCCATTCGCCTGGAAATTTGTTTCCCATCCTCTTACTTTGAGTCTGTGCATGTCCTTTCTAGTGAGATGGGCCTCTTGAAGGCAGTATATTGTTGCCTGGTGATATTTTATCCATTTTGCCATTCTATATCTTTTCAGTGGTGCATTTAGTCCATTCACGTTCAGGCTAATTATTGAAATGTGGGAGTTCATCCCTATCCTAGAGTTCTTTTAGAGTTGTTCTTCCACTTGGTTTATTGTCTTTCTTTTGTTTTTGGGGTTGGTTCATGTGTATTTTATTGTTTTTCCTGTACTCTTGTGAAGAACATTGCTCTTTTTCCCCCCTTTTCTTCTGTGTTTAGTACTTTCTTAAGTGTTTCATGTAGAGGTGGTTTGGTGGCAGTGTAAGTTCTTAGGGATTGGATATCTGGGAAAGATTTTAATTCTCCCTCGCTGATGAAGCTTAATCTAGCAGGGTAGGTTATTCTTGGTTGAAATTGTTTATCTTTTAGGACTTTGAAGATAGGGCTCCAAGCTCTCCTAGCCTGCAGGGTTTCTGTAGAAAAATCTGCTGCTATTCTAATTGGTTTTCCATGGTAGGTGATCTGACCTTTTTCTCTTGCTGCCTACTGGATTTTTTCTTTTATGCCTACTTTGTTTAGGCGAATTATTATGTGTCTAGGAGTTGGTTTTATCATTTGTTGTCTTACAGGGTTTCTCTGGATCTCTTGTTTTTGAGTTTTTGCATCACTGATTAGATAAGGGAAGTTTTCTTGAATGATCTCATGGAAGGTTTGTTCCAATGTGGTCTCTGTCTCTCTTTCTGCCTCAGACAGACCAATTACTCTTAGCTTAGGTCTTTTGAGGTAATCGCTCATCTCTTGAATGTTTTTTTTCTGTCTTTTTCAGCTTGTTTTCTGTGTTTTTGAGAGTTTGGGTTATTTCTATATTTTGGTCCTCAAGCTCTGAGATTTTTTCTTCTGCTTGGGTAATTCTGCTTTCCATGCTTATCAGTTTATTGTTTATTTCATTCACAGTATTCTTTATTACTGTTATCTCAGATATCAGCTCCTTTCTAGTTTCTTCTTGAGTCTCTTCAATTCTTTTTAATCTCTCCATTAATGTCTTGATGTCTAGGTTTGTATTTTGAAACCAGTCATGCTGGGGGCTCTTCGTTGTTTGCATTCCAAAGTCAGTTTTCTCAGTGTCTACCCTCCCAGGAGTCTGGGAGAGACTCATATTCTCCTTTTGGTTTTTCTTCATTTGTGTAGATTTTTCTCTCTCGCCCCTTAGTGGATAAAGTTCCTGAGTTCTAATCTCCAGCCTCTCCCCTCTGTTTCTGTTGCAGGCAGTTAGCTTGTTGCCTGGGAGATCTGTGACACTGGTCTCTATTCAGTGTAGGGGAGGGACTTTTTCTTCTGCTAATGACGTCACTGTGGGAACCGAAGTGGAGGCTCTGATAGGTGGGCGGAGTAATGCGATGTAAGCATGCCTTGAAAATGGCAGATGTGATGGTTTTACTTTCACTTTTAGGGATGCTCCTGTGGGACTCTAGGTGGGATCAGCTGCACACCTGGGCGCTGGATCCAGGGTACCACCAGCAGGCTAGGGTGGAGGAGAGGGTCGGGCATTCCCTCCTCTGGATCTGGAAGCCTGAGATCGACACCTTACACCAGCTTGGGGTTCTGCCCCCTTACACAGGCTTGTGGTCACGCATGCTGAGTGCCTCAGCCAGAGTGGTCCCGGGGCTTCAGATCTCCAAAGCTCCAGAGGGCAGGTGGTGGCTCTGGATCCCTCCCAGGGCACTTTAGCCGGAAATGGGACCGGTATCTCTAAGGGGCGGGTGCTAAGAGCCTCCCTGCATGACCAGCAGCTTTGCACTGGGTGCTGGTCATGACGATGTAGCCAGGGATGGAGCTGGGATCTGGGATTTGGGATTCCCCAGCTGGCCAGAATCACATATAGTGGAGCAGCCGCAGTCTGGCCGCAATGTCTGGCCCTGTGTGGGACCAAAAGTCCCCAAGCCTCATACCAGTGTGGCCGGAGGTGGGCGGGGAGGGGTGCAGGAAGAAAAGTAATAGTCTTTTTGGGAAACTCATGTTCAGAGTATCTCAGGGATCCACCTATGCCGTCGCCATCTTCCAACTCTCTCCAGCATCATGCTTCTTAGTGTCCATATCTTTGTAGGCTTTGAGGAAATGTTGTCTGTGTTAATATTTATTTATATTCCATTGTGGTCTGAGAATGTGCATGGCAAGATAGTCAACCTTGTGGAATGTGTTTATGCTTAATTTATGACCAAGGATGTGATCGATCTTGGAGTATATTCCATGTGGTGATGAGTAGAATGTATATTCTGTGGTTGTTGGGTAGAATAATCTGTAGGTATCTATTAGGTCCATTTGGCTGAGTGTTGAGTTTAGGTTCTGGATATCCTTGTTGATTTTTTGCCTCAATGATCTATCTTTGGCTGTTATTGGGGTATTCAAGTCCCCTGCTATAATAGTGCTAGTGTCAATATCTGTTTTTAGTTTTCCTAGTAGTTGCTTTATAAGTGCTGGTGCTCCTGTATTGAGTGCATATATGTTTAGGATGAATATTTCTTGTTGATGGGTTGAAACTTTCATCATTATGTAGTGTCCTTTTGTATCTTTTTAAGTTTTTGATAGTGTAAAGGTTGTTTTTTTTGTTATTGAGACTGCAACTTCGTTTTGTGATACATTCTTTTGTGACCCATTTTTCTGGAAACTCCTTTTACAATCTTTAACTTTGAGTCTGTGTGCATCTCTGGTAGTGAGATGAGTCACCTGGATGCAGCAAATAATTGGGTCATGGTTTCTTATCCAGTTTGCCATTCTGTGTCTTTTCAGTGGTGCATTTAGTCCATTCGCATTCAGGTTGATTATTGAACTGTGAATGTTTATCACTGTCATGAGGTTCGTATAAAGTTTTTTCTTTGTTTGCTTGTTTCTTCTGGCTTTGGGGTTAATCTAAGTGTGAGTTTTCAAGTTTCTTGCTGTGCTGTATGCTCTGTTGAATCTGTGCTCTGCTGTTCTCTTTAGAAGTGTATAGTCATTCTTCTTTTTGTTTCTTCTGTGCTTACTGTCTTTTAAAGTGTCTCCTGTAGAGCTGGTTTGGAAGCCGCATAATCTCTTTGGGATTAGATGTCTGGGAAGGATTTTAATTTTCCATCACTGATGAAACTGAGCTTGGCTTGGTAGTAAATTCTTGGTTGAAATTGTTTGTGTTGAGGGCTTTGAATATTGGACTCCAGTCCCTTCTTGCTTGTAGTTTTTCTGCCAATATGTCTACTGCTATTCTGATTGGTTTTCCCTGGTAGATAGTCTGACCTTTCTCTCTTACTGCCTTTAGAATTTTTTCTTTTGTGCCTACTTTGTGTAGGTGAAGTATATGTTTTTATGGGTTGGTCTTCTCATTTGATGTCTTGTGGGGATTCTCTGTATCTCTTGTGCTTGGCTGATCACATCTCTGGTGAGATGGGGAAAGTTTTCTTGGGTTACTTCCTGGAATACTTGCTCCAAGTTGTTCTCCATTTCCCTTTCTTCTTCTGGGATATCGATCGGGCATAGATTTGGCCTCTTGATATAATTGCACATCTCTTGTAGATTTGTTCTTTCTTTCTGAGTCTTCTTTCTATGTTTTTTTACAGATTGGGTTAATTCCATGTTCTAGTCTTCAAGTTCTGAGAGTCTTTCTTCAGGTAGATTAATTTGCTTTCTACACTTGTCATCTTGTTATTTATTTCCTGGATGAAATTCTTTATGCCCCAAATCTCTGTTACAAGTTCCTTCAGTGTTGCATCTTGTCTTTCTTGAGTCTTGTTCACTCTTTCCATCCATTCTCTAATCCCTATCATATTCTGGTGCCAGTGGATGGTGACTTCCATTGTTTGGGCACCAAGGTCTGATTGTTCAGTTGTTTTCTTTGTTACACTTTTAATTGCTTGTGGTTTTCCTTTGGTTT